ACGAAATTCGCTTGAAAAACCGACAAAACTCGCAGAACTTGTGCCGAGAAACGTCCGTCGCCCACGGAGCTTACTAACACACGACCGCTCTCGGCCGGCGGCCAGGGGTGAATGACCGCAGACTTCCTCCTCAGAGGTCGTTCACCCCGAGCAGCAGGCTGGTTGGTCTTTGGCTGGCCGCCGCTGCCACAAATAGGGAGATAGCATCAGGAGGCTACCGGTTAGCAAGACCACCGTTGTGGGCTCGAAGAGAGAGAGGGGCCCCAAAGGGACCCAATTTGTTTCTTGAAAATGCCACCGAGGGCGCCGTCAGCGCCGAACTCGCTTGCAATCGTAGACCTTTCTGCGTATTGTAAGCGTTCGATTCCACATCGGAGTCGTGAGGGTTGTAGGGAACGAATAACTATTGTTATTGTTGCTACACACGCGTAGCCAACTCTGTCAACAAGAAAAAACAACAAACAGCACGGATCAAACAACATTTCTTTTGCTTTCATAGTTCCATATTGTTTCTGCTGCTGCTGCTATTGTTGACTTGCTAGATGGAGAGCACAGGGGAAAAAGGACAAGGGAAGCAGGAGGTAGAGGGACAGCGTACCACTCAATTTGCAAAGTTTTTTTGTGCCGTTAAGCACACTGTTTCAATAAAGATTTCATAGGTTTTTTTCTAAATCATAACAACTTTCTTTATTTCAATTAAGAATTCTAGACAGGCAACACCAACAGTTGTTTGACCCAGCTATGGTCTGTCCATCCTATTCGACTGACTAAATAAATATTTACTTCTTTTTCACAGTAATTCATACTGATTCATAGTATAACATTGAATCGATCAGTACCTTTACCCTTCTTGAATGCAAATGGAGAAGTCGTTAATGAGTAACTTTGACCTCGCAACCGATCAAAAGTTTTTACCATATTAAATTCCATATTATAGACTATATTAATTAGCATATTATAGTTCCTACCAGTTTTTCAGATCGCTTGTAGAGCGCTAGCTTATTTTAATTAGCGATGCCCTTCGTTGGTGGTAAAAAGCAAACAATGCAAATGATATAAACTGAAATTCATTGACACTGGTAAGTGCTGGCTATTCACTTCCGGTCCATCTGTAGACCGTCGACAATTGTGGAAAACGTTAGGCAGAGTTGTGAGTTGCAATGGCCAAACAATATCAAGCTTTGTATCAACTTAATTCTTTATCAACTTTTAGTTATTAGTCGTCCGGTCAATATCGTTAAACCCCTTTCGCTCTCGATATTGAATCGAGCTTGACTTCGTTCAGAAAAGCGGGCAGAGCGATATATGACTACGTACTAGAGCGCAAGCCTTCTTTGTGCGACACTATGTAGCTTGCTTGAAAAACCGGTCGAGAGATATGCGGGCACAATGCCTGTTTCTGATCACATTAATTCTCGATAGAGCAAATGGTTGAGAAACATTCTGAGCAAACATTATAGATCGAGGTCTCGTACAGCGCTGGTCAGCTTTGCTTTGGTCTAGCAACAGTTAGTCTTTCTAGAACAATTAAGCAGACTTTTGCGCGAAACTGGTTAACTTTTGCAAAGTTCTACGCCCACTTGAGATCGCAAACGCCGATCGATTCGACGCGAGGGCCAAGTGGTTTCAAACTACAGTAATATCTTCAGTAAAATACTTATATATTTATAGGGGGTTTTCAAATAAAACATTTTGAAGTACGGTCACGCCACTGAGTAGAAAGTGAGGCGGTTGATGGATGATTGATTAGTGGAACCTGTGGCCTGTGCAGGCACCATACTGATCACGCGATGTCCGTTTTCCAGGACACCTTCCCATGTTGAACTTCGAAGTACGATTATGGTAATCGATAGTTTCATGTTCACTATTAGTTTTAAAAAAATAATTCGCGTCTACGTCGCTGTTCTCGGTTTGTGTCGACATCTTGGACACGGTGCATCCATCTCGGTTGTATAGGGCGACATGATAGTCTATTTGTTCCTGACTGTTTATTATTATTACTCTATTCCAGACGCAACTGAGAATTACTTACTAAAAATAAGGCTGTTAGCAGTCCATATTCCGTCCGCGATGTACTATACGTAATGACGAAATAGTTATCATTATTTTGAGGCTCATTGTAAAGACATACACATGTATTACGTATTACCTAAGTAAGAAACCGTACCAAAAAGCTTCATAGCCTCCAACTCAGGGAAATTTATCTTTTTGGGTAGTTAGTCATAAACATTAAACATGTTTGTAGGTATTGGTACTTGTTTACAATGATTACTCGATGATTAATTTCTCAGCCCACATTTACATGTTGATATGTACTTTTCAGATTTAATGTTAGTTCAAGCTTGAGATCTGAGTATATTAACCACAATCATGAAACGACCCAGCGGTAGCGAATGGCGAACGGCTTAATTACGAGGGAATAATTCACACAGGCGTACAATACACCTGCTCGTATGCCAGAATGTGTAGAACATGGTAAGGCAGTATCTGGACCAAGAAATTGGTGAGGTTAGAAGGGTATGGAACAGACTCAGTGAGCGGGATGGTGGAAGAACTTCAACGCGAAAACTGTAATAGGACAACAGTCAAAGCTAACAGCTGGACGGGGTTAACACGATAAGGTCATCGGACGATTGCAACTAGCCCGGGAGCAAAACTATGTTTCAGGCCGAACAATTCTCAACTCCTTCTACGTTTCAATGGAAGGGTCGTACTGGGGATTATGTGAAGATTCGATCTTATTCGCATGGCAGTAACGACTTTAAATTAGATTAAATTAAGCAGGAGCTCTGAAGAGTTTATTTTCAGAAGAAAAAAGTATGAATCTGCCGAGCGAATATGCTTTTTATTATTATTAGTCTTTGTCCATGCTCTTCACAGAAGACGTGTTCATTGGCTGTGCGCTGGCATGGAGCTTATGATGGAAAATAATGGCAGAAAGTAGATATTCTCGTTTCTATTTTGAAATACAATGGCAGATGGCGGATACCATGCCATAAATACAGTAAAATAGAGGCTGACAATACGTTTTCTTCGCTTTGATTGTGACGAAAAATAGTTCTTTTATAACACTGCATCTCGAGATACAAGTAACTGCTCCTTTAAACGTTGATACTTGTATTTACGATTCTAAGATACTTTCGAAAAAATATATAAAAATACAACGTCGCAGAGGACAAAAAACTTGCATGAATTTTTTTTTAGGTAACAATAAATAGTTTTACATCTTGTACAGCCATTAGGTCGTTTCAAACGGCTGGCTATTTACGACACGAAGCGAAGCGCGTCTGTACCTCGTTTCTTGCACAAACCTTAACTACCCCACGTGACTGTGAGTTTAGTAATAGGTAAACATGTTACCACTACTGCGTCATGAGGATATGATGGCTATGACATGATAAAAAGAAATGTGGAAGACTTTAAACACTCAAGAAAGCCTCAAAAAAGTAAAAAAAGAAGGCTTTGTGTGTATGTGTGTTTATAAACTAAGTTTATGTATATCTATAGAAAGATAAATTCAAAATAAATAGTTGGTGGAGCAATGCATTTTATAGATCTCTAAAGTAAAAATCTATATGTAGACAAAGCATAGTAGAAGGAAACATCAGTAGTATTTTTAATTTTATTTTGCTTCGAAATGAATGCTACATATAACATTCGAATGCTTTTTTCGATTTCATTTTTAATTTAACCTATCTCTCAGTCCTTTCATTAGGTTAGACATGTGCAAAGACTTTGCTCTGTCTATTAGCAAGACAACACGTAAAGCCTAACGTTGGCCAAAGGCCGTCGGGGTCACTTAGTCAAACGGACAATCAACGTAGGATAAGGCGACGAACGAATTATCAATATTTGAAAGTAAACAGAGCGTCTAAACTCTGCTCTGTTACTCTTATCCGCGGCCACGATGTAGGTGTGATAACCTCGAGATCATTGACCTTGGATAAACCTGAAATGGCCTTATAAACGAAAGGTGCAGAGGTGGGGAGTGGTGGAATAAAGCGTAACTAATGCAGCGGGGGCTCTCGTCTGGCAATGCATCCACTTTTGAACTAAACCTTAGGTGTCCTTTCTCCATTACGGCCACTCCTTTCCATGCGTATGCCATAACTCCTATGCAATAGTGTGTTTCAAAAGCTTTCTTTATTGCTCTTTACAAAAGATTGTCTTCCAATTGGAATCATGTTGTTCTTATCATAGTAAACACCGAACAGATAAGTCTACATTGAAAGAAGGCTGGGTTTAGGAGCTGAAACAGAATAATATGTAACCCAGAGTTTAATCCATGTACTTTGCGCTGGCCTATAAAGTATTTCGACCTTACGCTGAATATATACTTCTGTACCAGTACTAATATATAGTACTGGTTTGCCTGGGTACTATTTCCGCTCACTAGATAAAGTTCCAGCTTCGAGTAACTTATACTAAGTCGTTCATACGTCTCTTAACTCCAAATTGACATTTACATTTTTAGCGGTATTTGAATAGATTTATTGAATAATAACGGAGTTCTAGGAGACTACACGGATCCTGGCTAATGCGGACTTGCGTTAACGCAAATACCAACTTGATGGCCTTTTAAGCACAAGTTCACCTCTATAGTAGTTTTAGAAATCATACACTTTTGTTAATAAATGTTTTTACTTACGAAGCAATTTTCTAAACTGTGAGATGATATATAATAATTTCTTTCACATGCTATTGTATGCAGTGTCTAGTTAACGTCTATTACAGGCCGAATTTATAAGTGTGAATTGCTTTTTTTTTTACTTTTTTTTTTTGTTTGGCTGCTAATCGCCGCTTGTAGGTCAATTATTAATTCTTCGTTGCCTTCAGAACAACTCAGAGAGGTTTTCCGTTGGTAAGTAATGAAGCAATAGCTGTAAACGATAAATAAGGTCAGATCAAGTTTATTTACAAAGTGTTTTCTCATAATGTTTTATGATACATCTGCATAAAGGGATTTGTGAAAACGATGAGTCCTTACCCGTAATGTCACAATCGATAATACCTACCCTCAGTAATCATCAGGGACAAGCAAGGTCAATGAGCTCTCTCTTCTTAAAATTACTAATTTCTTCATGTTCCAATATGAATTAGGTTTGAAACTGAGAGTAACCAAGAGCGCCAAGGGATATTAAAGTTTTCGTATCTGCATAGAATATACAAACGAAGATTATGTTATATGTATAGGATACGTTCAGCATTATCGTTTCAGTATGCCTTATAAAAACCTCGTTGGATTAAAAACGGTTAAATACAAATAATCAGTCACTTTTGTGAACTTTACGTAATTCAGTCAACTTGAATAGATGCTAAATGCGGTTGTTTTATATCAAATTGATACCCGTTGATCCACAGATGGGTTGTTATTACTTCATGGAAGAAAATAGACATGCGGAGAACCAGTGAGTTAGGCACAGAAATCTTTGCGTATCACTTTTACTTTTCCATCCGTCCAGTAATTCGTGTTTCGAGGGATGACGAGTGCGGTTGATTGTCTCTAGTTAACAGCTGTCATATGTTAAAAAAAATACTATGTTTTTACGGAACTCTAGTAGTGCTCTTTTGATTAATATCGGTCTTGATAAGAGACGCTTACTTCCCATGTAGCACTTTGCCACAGGTTCTCTGAAAACATCATGTTAGGTTTGATTATCGGATTGTCTTGACTGATCGAAACCAGAGGTTTTTCGCTGCATAAAGCTGCTATTGTTTTTGTTCATGCTAACAGGAATTGTTTGTATGAGACGTACTTATAAACAACTGATTGGTTGAAAAATACGTAAGGGTTGGGCAAACATGGCCTCAGCGATACTTTGAACTGAAAAACGGACTTTGTTACCAGGAAGTAAAAAAAAAAAAGAGAAATATATACTCCTGTTAATAATCTGGATCATTTACGAGAGACCAAATTTATTGGTGGAATAATGACACCAGTATGTATATCACATTAGTTTCACAGACACGTTACAGGAGCCGTAAAGTCGATACGAAATGTTAATGAAAAAAAGTTCACTTGCTCGCCTATTTACTAATTCGTATGGCCGTGGATAAAGTAATTTCACATAGAACCTGGTGTACTATTTTCTCCTATGATCTAACGAACTTGATATTATGCTTGAGACTGTCGCCAAGTAATTATGTAACTTCATAAAAATAAGGTTACACACACCCTAGTGAATGATATTCGAATATTGGAACTCAAAATCTGTACTATTTAAGAGCAGAGATAAGGAGGTTCGCAAACTATTGTCTATGAAGTCAAAAGGAATCGTCGCACAAAACAAGGGCAACAATCTAATCATATGGAGAATGACTAAGATTCTATATATTTTCATTCTGACTGAAAAAACCAACCACTAAAAAGAACAATTAATACAACAGTGATTAACGCAAAAATATTAAAAAGCTAACAGGTACCGCCAATAATGTGATAGGTTTCTTCCTTTTTTTTGTGAGCGGTCTTTATTACACTGCTTATTGCGTAACGTAAATACCACAAACGTTGCGACAACATATTTTAGCAATATGATTTAAGATTACTATTTGTCTAGCAATGGCTTGTACCACGTATTTCGTACACGTAAAGGGCCCACTTATGGTGGGGTATGCACAGGAAGTTTACGTCATCAAATTTGGGTTATATTCGGTTGATTCTTCAGCGCCAGCCTATAAACAGGTTCACAGAGGTTAATCATTTGCTGACGCGCAGACGGCCTGTATTTGTTTTATTCCCTATGTAAGCTGGTTGTTTCTAAGTCGCACCCATAGTATGTGTAGCATATGTATGGTCTGTTCAAAGATATATTAAGGTGACACTTAACCACGGTATGGGAGTGAGGTACGGGACAAAGCCCCTTTTGGACAGCGAACATATTTAGTTAGAATAGATTATTTAGTAAAAAAAAGTTTGAAGTTATAAAACTAAGTATCAATTCTGTGGAGCTGTAATGATTTTAGCTATCGTTTAAAATCACTAGGTTTTGGAGCCATTATTGTTTGATAATAGGGCTTACCTTCCAATAGTCGTTATCTGCGTGTCTTGCTATGTATGAATAACGGAAATCTAATTATCGTTCCCACCTCTAATCAAACGACGATCAAAGTCTACTTTTTTTTTTGTAATGTATACTTACCTTCTACCCACCTAGGTGCTGATCTCATTGAGCTTGTCTTTTTAAATTTCTCTTCAACCCGCTGCCTGCACATATATTCTAATAGCTGTTTTTTTCCAGATGAAGCGGCGGTTTCCAAAAAAAAAATTAATGTCTTGGCTTTCTTTTCTTGAACTAGATTATGAGCAAAAATCTTCGACTGACAAACACAATAAATTTCTTGTCACTAACACAGTCGGTAAAATAGAGTCTGGTTCGATTTATATTGGAGCATTCGTTAAAAAAGTCAAACTATTAGAGTTAAAATAGGGATAGCAAACCATTCGCCGTCAGCCAACATCTCCAATCACCTCCAACGCCGGTCAGCATTAGAAACACAGAGAAAAACGAAAAAAAAAGGAACTTTCAGAAAAGAAAAAACACTGAAGCAAAATTGCCTGACAGGGTAAAAAGATAAAAGAAGGCCATCTTGTAAATAAAACCGTCTTGGACGGTTTTATAGATGATGCGCGTGTTCTTTTCATTATGCCTGGCTAAATGCTAAACTCCAGTCACTTACAGAACGTATGTCTGTGAGATAATGCTCTAACTATTGAGCTTAAGATCAAAGCGTTGCAGTACAGTAACGTTTGATCGCTACTACAAGCGGCCCGTTGTAGGAGATAAGCTAAACTCAAATGCGCGATTATGTTATCGTTTGCCTAATTTTTTTCATCCTTTCGTTTATAGGACGAGCATTACCTGTCAAAAACCCCATCGAAATCATTGAGCATAGATCACAAGCCTCACATACGACATCAGCAGTAGAAAGCTGGCTTACCCAAACCTATGCTCATTTACTTATATCTTTACATACTTAGTCATATAACTTGCTACGCCAATTTCGGTATTACTAGAACATTTCTATATTGCACGTGTTTTGCCTTCTAAACTACTTGTTGTGAATCACTTATCACACAACGGCAATTTATATTCTGCCAACACATATCAGTGGAAGGCGAAGAAAATATTATTGTAAAAACGCCTACAAAACGTTAATACAAGGGTCATATAGTCACTGTCAATCAAGCATTCTCTCCAATTAACAATGACACTTTTTTTTATTATCCTCCCTTTAATCAACGCACACTATCGATTTACGCGCTTGGAATAAGGCGGACTAAGGTCTTACGCAGTATACACTAAACGAAGGATTCTACCGGGACTACAAAGTGCTTATGCGGCGTCGCTGGCCCCACCACTCCGCTTAACCGTAACGGTGGCTAAAAACAGCTAGCTCACTGCCTATTTGTCTGAGCCGATGCGTTCAAAATAAACGACTGAGCAGATATTTGGCGATCCATTGATGTAGTTAGCAGAAAACCACAGAGTACCGTCCTACACTCTACGCTGTTCATGCACTTGTCTACTGTTGTTGCCGTTGTTGTTCCCGTTGCTACATTGTCGCGCTAGCTGTAGCAACAGTCGTGATCGTAGCGTTCCCTTCCCTAAGGATTTCTGTCTTCTTGACAGTTGGCAACACTGCACCAGTTTGGAACCCTAACAACAGACAAACGACGATACCGTCCAGGAACGGTATAATATAATGCCTAATGTTGATAGTCGCTATTACCATAATACGAGGTCGGTCTATTCGTTGGACTGTCATCAAAAACTACTGCAACTACATGTTGTTTAGAGAACAGCTTGTGCGCTGACATTAACAATGGGGAAACCGGGAATGCCAGATGAACCTGTAGGAAAGCAATAAAAGTTTTCTTTCACTCAGCCGTTATTTATGTTATCTAGGCGTTCCGGATCAAAGAGTTTGAACAACTTCATCAAAAAATGGAAAAGTTGACTGAAGATTAGGCTTTCTTCTCATACAACTCGTTTCGAAACGGCCGCGGCTCGTTCATTGTGTTGATCAAATGGCCCTAGTAGATAAATAGAGCGACACGTACGATATGGAAAGTTTGACACTTCTGAAGACCATCTATTCAGGTGGTGTCACTGCATCGCGTACGTGTGTTGATCTGGCCAGCGGAAAAACTATGCCAGTTTATGTCTGTGTAAACAATGCCTTTCGAAAATAACACGGCAGTACTTCGAATTTTCGTAAGTTGTTGAGCTTGTACGTTGTCGCAGTTGCTAAGTGTCAAAGTCAGATGTCCAAATACTTTGCCAAATACTTAGAGTACCAAATGCATTATGTATAATCTAAAAACACATATATCTACAGAAAAGAGAAAAAGTCTTTTTAAAGTCTATGTTTTTGGGTGAGTCATCGTAAAACAAAGGGCAACAATTTTTTTTGGTATTTGCTAATTAGAGGGAGTTCCTTTACTTACCGGACATGTTTAAATGGGTGCTACGCTACTGATAATGAGTGCAATTGGCAAGATAGAAATCAAACAGAATAATGAATTCTGATTATCTATATAGGACAAGCATGACAATATGCGGCCAAATAGTAAGAAACCAGTTTCTTATATTGCATTCGATGATAGGTCCCACCGATGTTCCATACCAATTAATATTTTTTAATTACTCATGGTTTATAGTTTCTATCCGCTTAGTTCTAGAAAAAAAGAACTGTTAAATTTGTCATGGGTCGAATGTAGTAGAGATTGAAGCTGACAAGGGTAACATTTACAATAAGACTACAGACCGATGTTTTATAGAATTTTCCCTGTCCAGTAGGTATGGTGAACAAATAGAAATTAAAAATGCCATATTCTAAATCAGTTTACGGGTAAACGAAACTGTAGAGAGCAAGGGAAGAAGGGTTTACAAATTACCACATTGGAGCTGTTATATGCAATTTATTTTAGAGGCAGACCTCAAAGAAGGTCGTTTCAAAGTAATTTTAAAGGCAACACCAGCGGACATAGTTTGGTAACGGGGGCATAGGTGCAACGATTAATAGTGATCTGCGATATGGTTGCGTATTATATAGTGTCGTGCGCATCTTTGTGGTTCTATCGCATACTCGTATGTGTGATCTTATTATATTGCTGCGTACACAAACATATAGATTACCTGTAAAAGATATATGTGCTTCGTTTGAATTGAGTAGTCGAATCCAGTGGGTTCAGTTGCATTTTGAAATTAGGTAAATGTACATCTCAAACACTACCGGTAGCTAATAGATCCTCGACTAATTGGCGAAGCTGTAAGAGAAGCGGGAAAGTGGCTAGTAAGGGCCATAACCACAACAATATGTAGCTACTAGCGTCTTTTGCTATAGTTATTATCTGCTATTACTTATGAGAAAGTATACTTAGAAGCACAGTACGAAGGATAATATTCACCAATCTACTAATGCTAACCTACGGGCATGTGCTTGGAATCGTTTTGAATTAAACAGGACGTCCTCCCTAGTGAAAACGATATCGCAGTTCTACGTTAAATCTGATTACCGCGCCGTGAAGAGAATATGCTATTTAAAGTTTTTACATAGTCGTCGCTTTTTTTTTTTGATTTTGTGTTTAGCAAAAGTCTAATCGATAATGGTTCGATACAAAGTCTTCTGTCTTTACAGGGATCTCTAAAAATCCTATATGCCAGTGAGATTTTAGGTTAGGTATTTTGCGTATTCCACACAAAAGAGCAACATGTGTTGTAAACAATACTAATATAAATGTTTTATCACCGTAATTCATTTTACGTAAAGGGACTGTCGTTCGGGTCGGAATGCAGCGCGGGAGAAGAAATATTATTCAATCCACGGCTTCACTGCTGGTTAGCCTGTGAGAAGTCCGCTTCTCGACACCTAAAGACATCCGTATTTTCCTGGCTAATTATTTCCGCACTCTCCAAAATGTCTAGGCTCTCTTACCACTTCATTACAAATCACTAAGTATCGACATTGTGCCTGTATGAAAAAGGTATTAGACGAAGCTGCGCACAAATGGTAATATTGTTTATTACATCGAGATTTCAGAGAGTCAATAGCGTATCTTCAAGATAATTGCTATAGGTAGATGTCCTCGAAAGACGAAAGCCACAATTGGTGTTGATCTTCGCGAAAGGATTGTCGAGGTGGATGACGAGTGTATCACGGTAGGTCCTCGGTTTAACCCGTTGCTCAATTTCAGCTTGAGATATGGGCGTGTAATGTGCTTCGAACAAAGTGCATACAACATTTTCAACCGGTATATAACTGTAAGGTTTGTAAAAGACATTTGTAGTCTCGTCACCGTGCATGCTATATCCGGAAAGACTTTTGTAAACTATACCCACTCGTGTTTCGATGCGCCCTGAATAAAACTGTGTCTTTGTTGTAGATTGATGAGAACAAGCATATGGCAACTAAATAAATGTCTGCTCCCCCAGCTGCAGTTATGGGGACACGGCTGGACAAGAACGATTCCGAAGAAGTATGTTCAACGTTACTACCGGTAACTGTTTATGCGTCTCTTGCATCTGGTAGCTTTGCATCGTTAGAATTCGAGAAGCTTTTGCTAGTCCATAACAGCTCCTACGCATCTAAACAGTCAATCACACGTATTCTTTCGCATAGTTAAAGTTCTTTAAGAGGTGAGAGCGTAAACATGTATACATAGAAAAAGTTATGCAAACGAAAAATTCGACGATTTAAAAACGGTCTTTCGTGCTGTGTATACATTTTTATTCTGTATATTGACATTATGTTTATTTTGAATAGTGAGTGTTTGTTTAAAATCTCAACGAGGTCTAATTGACTAAAATTAACTAACTTTTGATGTGTTTTTCCGACCTATTTTTGTTACCTAAAGATATTTTCGCAGAACAGTAAACTCGAATAAAATGTACATAAGATTGCATTTGGAATCGTCAGACTTTGATAAATCATAGCTACCGCGTCCAATCCGAATGATTGATTCTTAAAAGAAGCTTTTATTTTTATAATAGGACGTAGATTTTCGATAGCGTAAAGTTCGATCGTGATAACGTTTCAATATTTAAGCTTCTAAACAAACTGCATACGTTTAAGATAACTTTTAATAGTAAGTTTCATGCTAATAATGTATTCGGTGACCATTCTTGTGACCGACTGCATTGAACATATATGACAGCCTGAAAAGCACAATTGAACAGTCCGTCTCGACAACGGTTGCTTATTAAATGATGGTTGTACCTGTGTTATTACAAACTAGTACGTATTGCATACTATAATATTTCGAAACGTGCTGTTCGTTTATGAGGTTACGATGCTTCGTTTGTTCGAAAGTTTAGAAAGTTCGAAAGATAGAAGAGTGCGATAGGCATTAGCTTAGCCCACATGAACCTCCTCGAATACTGGTTGGAAATAAGTGCGAAATTGTACTGCATGCACAGTATTTCGTTAGAACGTACGTGCGCGACCTTTTGCGTCACACGGAGTTTCTATCTAATCTCTGTTCACCCCCGCCTTCGCTAATCAGTTCAATCAATTTAAACTTATATCCTACATACATTCTTATATGTATCGCATCACGTGCGAAGCTCTAGGTTAATTTAGCGTATTATTTGAAAATCCCGCGCCGTTTAGTGCACGAACTCATCTCACTGGTTATTGTTGGTATGAAAAGAGTAGTACTACTGCTGAATCGAGAATGATTCTCTGCTAGCACACACGCTAAGCTAAAGGCTAATCCTAATTGCAGTGCTATTTTTCAAGAAAATCTAGCCACATTAAGTCTGATGACGTAAAGATCAATGGCCATTGTTGTGCATATACGCTATTAAAGAGTTTTCTACAGAATTAAGACGTTACTTTTTTATTGTGAAGCCGGATAGATTTATCACAAAAATCAGCACCGTCAGAGGCTTTTGAATCCACTCGAGTCGGGCTGTTGGTTTCCACCTCTCAAGTTATCGGCACACGATATATGTACATTCTGCCTACTCATTGGTTTTAACATAGTAATTTCTCTTCTTTAATCATTATAGGTGGCAGTGAGCACAAACGCGGTCTAGCGCTTTGCCGATCAACACAGCATGCCACTATTTGAAGCCTCTGCAAAGGTAAAGACGTTTTTGTATATATATATATATATATGCATATTACCACAGATGATTTGAAAACAAAGTGCACGTGGAACAAATATAAGAGTAACAGCTTCGGGTCGCAATGATGACGAACAAGTATCTCTTTGATTCTGTAGGATGACCCTCAGAGCGATCATCTGGAAAGTTTCATGACCCTTGTACACAAGCTTAAGAACTCAAAACCCATGATGTCCATTCAGAATTCAGGCACAGAGGTTCCCGGTGAAGTTCAACCTAAATCGACGAAAGATGGAGCACAAATGGTTACTTTCCAGCTGCTACGCTTCTTTCCCGCAGTCAAGCAGGACAATCCGATATAATAACATATCCGATATCCGGATCTTCGCGTGTGAAATTTACTAGTCTTCCCTGCAGTAGTTAAAATTTCTACATATATCATTGACACCCGATCATGATTCTCTGTTCCGAAAAAGCAACGTAGTATAGCACTGAAAACAGTGTGTGGCAACGATAGGACCAATGAACATTGTATACTAACTTCGTCAATGTAATGCAAATTGCCTTTACGGCCCTGGTTTCTTTACAATTACAATAAAACTATTTTTATAGTTTTCATCTGCACCGTTCAAACGAACTTTACCTTTTTTTTTTAGTTTTAGAAATGCATAGATGAAAAGTTTGAATGTAAATAGAGTTCCGCTACTGAAACCGCTGAATTTGTAATACGTCTAACCCAAGATCAATGGAAAAACAAGAGTGCATTGGTAGCTACAGCTTTGTTTTGAAGACCTTGCAATACCTACATGCACCGTTGTTGGATCCTAAAAGCTACGCAGGGTGAAATAGATTTAGATCATATACGATCACACATTTTCCAAATTAAGCAATCAGATGGATGTTTTCGGTCATTCAAACATTGAGCGCTTGGTTGAATCTTACAGAAAAGGTATTATGCATTACCAAAGTAAATAGCTCTGGCACGAAGTTTAATGAATATATATATATGTGAGGCCAAACGCCGATATAATTGTTGAACCTTTCACAAGCCTGCCTTTCAGCTGGTTACTTATATTATCGACTTTGATTTCATAGATACATGGATCGGATCGATTAGAAAAATATTCTGACGCCGGTGTAAAGATCGAAAAATACGTACATACGGCTTGCCGATTGCTCTAGATTGCATTGTACGAATCAAAATAATCCAACTTTCACACCTCATCCGTAATCATTTCGTTTTATAAAGATGTTAGGAGCCATAAAAAGGTGGTCAGCAAATCGACGGATCTAATTAGTCCACCCCTGACGGAAAACCGTTTGCGTGTGTGAGGACAATTTTCCCAGTAGTTCGAATTTATATACGTCATATCTGGGTACCTTGGAAATGAAACTCGCATTTACATCTCCGGCATTTTAGTTCTTGGTAATAACACAAGTGTAAACTTGAAATAACCTTGGCCAATGGTGGCCCCTGGAGCGTAGGTATCGCTACTAAGTATTGGACTGTTCATAATAAGAAACGACGTTTACTATACCGAAAGATAGTTTTCACACTGCATATGTAACGTTCTAAGGCTAAGACTGAATCTACCGAGCATCTGTTGTAAACACTGCGAAACTTCAGGGTTAGTTGAATTCTATGTACTATCCCCGCGTAACATTATGATATTTTCGAAGGTTCGTATTACGCAGGTCTGCTCGCGCATATATATGAAGTCCTAGATATGATATATTAAAATCGTAGAAGTCTGGAATAAACAAAAAGCATTAGTTTATAGACGCCTTAATGATATGCCCAGTTGTGTTTTTCGTTATTATATTTATAGAAATATTGCCACGTATAGAACGTTTGTTTTCTGTAATATTTATTAGAGTGTATAACCTAACGCTTGATAACGTAAATGGAACATCGGCCCGTCAACCATTATGTTCCGAGCTTCGATCTTTTATGCCGCTTGGTAATGCTCGAATATTCATTTCAGGACCAGTTTACGGTAAAATTGCGTTCGACTGATGTTGACACAAAGGTGACACGTTTTACCGGTATACTTAAAATTTAATTATTAGCTAGCCTCTGATAGATAGCTACGCGATTACAGAAAACGTTTGGCTTTTATTAATATTATTCACTATATGCAAAAGGCGTCTATTGGGTAGAAGGTTACACAAATATTTATATTTCCAGTAATACGAAAGCAATGGGTTTCGTGTTTTAGATATAAGCCATACATTTTTTTTATTAGAACACTTGGTCGGATAGTTACATAGAAACTATCAGTTCGTCGAAAAACAGATAAGTTAACCGGTTCTAAGTGGTAACCTGGAAGGAAGTTAGGCATCAGTTGTCACCTTTCGTACTATACGCCTACAATGAGATATCGATATGTCTAGTGAGAACTTTGGATCAATAATTCTTGCTCAGATCTTAAATATGGGTCTACAGGAAGATTCAGCAGGTACATATATACAGTTATATCGCTGCGTATTTTCCTGTAGAACCTATTCAATATCGAAATCAAAAATTAGCCTTACAATAGGAGTTAAGGGCCTCAGTACTTGCTCATAGCAAAGCTCTTAAAAATATATACAATTTGATACGATTGGTGCTATTGGTTTATGTTATTTGAGTAAATTTAAAAAAAAATGGGTCTATAAAAGACAGTTAAGTACCGCTTCGCATTTCCTCGAATTTTTGTTGAGGGATAAAGTCTCATTTCTCTAGCGCAGTTTCGTTTGCCCAAGGCTACCTGCTCAATGTAAAACTGGGAGTAAGTTACATTTTATAAACCTACTTTGGAAACTATATAGGCCAGGATGAGGTGGCGTGCTACGACCTAGTGTTATTTCAAACTTGTATGAAACAAAAATGTCGTCGATTGCTGATAACAGAGAAATTAGAACAATTAAGCTGCCTCCTACTCCCGTAGGTCAGAAGTGAATTATAACCATAGGACGATCACTTCTGTTGAATTCTTAATCCGTTAAAGGTCCAAATATCACGTTTCTTATATTTATACAGGCGTGCTTGTTGAATTTCGGTTTACTTGACAGTTCTTTTTAATAGCACAGTAAAATAATGGTTTCGATAGCGTATCGGTGACGCTGCACAATGCTGACGACAGGTGTATCAAATACCCAAATGTTCCACATTTTTAAGCGTACTGTATTCCAACGCAAAATCGACTCTCTTCGCGGCAAGCTAAGAAGATGTGCCTTGTAGGCGCGATAAGGTTTGATAAGGAAGCAGACGCGGTGTTCTTCGAGAGTCTCAGGACTTAAATTAAACCTAAAATTATACCCCTTTAATATCTTCTATCTAGACGAAATGCCCCTTCCGACGGTAATGCATTTCACAAAAACAGTTACGCTTATAAAAATGAAACCAGTTGCCCAAATGACATCACAAGAAGGCGGAATCCTTGTCGCAGTGCTCTCCTTCGCGTCCGCAAGATGAACTACAGTTGCGCCATGTTGCAGGTTTACAGCGTTTCACATCAAGGAACAAATACACCCATTAGTAGCCAAACCCGTCCGGATAAATTGCAAACGAAATATTTAAAGACTGTTTTAGGCGTTTCATTGCGGTTCGCTGTTATCTAGAGAAGCCATGTCTTGCGTACGAAACCCCTACAGGCCTATGTACGACCCAGTAAGCTTTGAAAAGCGGTGTCCATATCGTTAGTTCTTCCACACTGCTCCAACAAACCCTTAGACGTGGAAGTCTTTGGGGTATCATAAGCTCGATTTCGTACAGGTCAACAGAACGTTGTCACCACTTAGTCTCAACGTATTACAATTTATATCATAACTACATTGGCAAAAAGTGCAAACGAGGAATCATCTACACCGGCAAATATCGTTACAGGGCTTCTGAAAACAGGTACCTTGTTACCTAGCGAAAACGCTCACAGAAACTATTTTGTTCAGCAGCAGAGCTTGATAATTAGCCGGGATCGTCGGACCATCATGAAATGTCATTCCAGCAGGGCAACCTTTTATCCTCGGAAGGTAAAGTTCTGTTGTGGGTAACACATTATGGATAACCTCTATATCGCAAGCTGTAAAACTCCTGAAATTTTAGCCTTTATGGCACCAGCCCTGCATACATATAACAATATATAGTACCTAAGCAAAGATATTCATCTTTAACTTTTTATTGCGTAAGATGTAAAATCCACGTTTAATCGCGGAGTCTCATTTTCTTTGGAATAACCAAACAACATTCGTTATAGATTTTTTGAAAATTCATTTGGCATTTATTTCTGTTTTTCATCAGCGTTCCTCTCTTCCCGTCCACCGTCATCGGCATTTCATCATTTTTTTATTCCGACAAAAGTAGATTTTTTGTTTAAGTTTGAATAAATAAAATTCATCATCACCTAGCGCGCACAAGAGGGATCAGCCGGTAAGGGACAGCCCTGCTATCTGGGGTACCTCACAATTGATCCCCGTACTATATCTTAGCCTTGGCGTTGGTTGATATCCATTTGATGCACTGACCAAGCCTGGTCACGATTACGATGTATAATACTTATATATATATGTGTATGTATATATATATATATATACATATATATATATATATATATATATATATATATATATATATATATATATATACTAGACGGAATTTTTTTAATTAGTACGATTTTACATTCCCATCCTCTAACAGACTGATCCTCTAGCCGCTGCCTTATTTAATAACTTCGCCAAACTCTTTTCTGCCAAACTCAGCAACGAACGATAAGAAGTACAAAAAGTACAGTGTCTCCTTTGCATCTGTCATTATCGCCATCATCATCGTCATCATAGTTGTCGCCGTCGTCATAATCACCATAATTATTATTTGTTAATTTGTCCTGCCACTGCGTCTTTTCCTTCACTTTTCTGCTTACTCAATACATCGTTTCCTAGAGTTAATCCTTCTGTTTATCTATCTAGTCTAGCTGTATATTTATATATCAACCCCTAAGTCTTCACTTCTTCCATTTTCTTTTCTTACACTTTACATGTCTATGTACAATTAAGCCGCTAGTCGCTTCCACGCTTGTTGATTAGCGGGGACCCGCTTGGTGCTCTCATTTAGGTTCGTCTGTCAATTCTCGTCAGACCGTCTACCGCGATCTCATTGCAACATACTGGTTGTTGTTGTTGTTGTTAGCTGATTTCCCCTATGTGGTTAATTGTGGACAAGAAAAAAACAACAGTACATCTAGAAACATTTTTAAGAGGCAGCAATAATAACAGCAGCTATGAAACGGGTAAACAGTTTCAGCTAGAAAAGCGACTTCTACCTCACAGTACACACAGAGACTAGCACTATCTGGTCTGCATTGCGTTGACGGGGCATTGCTTTCTAACTTTTGCCCACTTAATCATGGGCTAGATAACTAGTCACTGTGAAATTAGGTATCTAATTAGATAATTCTTAACGTATGAATGAAAAGTTTCGACAGATTTCCATATTTAACATAGCAACATATCCGATACTTTTTTTTTAAACGATGCCGTTATTGCTGCTCGGTGTTTTTTCTATTAATTTCGATGATGATAGTCGTCGTCATCATCACAACGATTAACGAACTGTGTACACGGTTCATCGCGTATGTTTATCGTAAACCTTGTCCCTTAGCCGTGGAGGGAACTAATCGGCCTAGCTAAGGTATAGCGGAAAATAGGACGAGAAGACGACGAAATGATTGGGGCGTGTAGAACGTAGCGTAAAGGAGGCTTATTACTATTATTATTATTATTGTTACATGTTACATCCGCGTACTTTATATGCCGCCCCCGATCATCATCATCGTGCATGTTTTACTTTATTTATTGTCATTGATTTGCATGTTCTTCATCATCATTATAGTCAGTATAATTTTTCATTTCATTTTCTGTGTTTTTCTCTACATATATTTCCTTCCGGTGTGGTCTTCGGAAACCGACCACAATCGCATATTACGATCAAACATCTCCGCAATTCTCCCTACTTCAAACTTTTATCCCAGCCTTTTCAGTATTATTACAGTTATTATTTCTATGACCAACATTATCATCGAAAATCATCTTAATCATATTATCAATAAGAATTATTATCAGCTATCAGCCGCTTACTCGCGTCTAAAGGGTCAACTAAACATTGCGGTTTTTACTCTGAATAATCTTCGATCATCATCATCATCATTTTCCCGTTCCGTGGTCACTCTTCGATGAACCCAGTAACCCAGCTTATAGTAGCATCATTATTCTTCCAAATTGTCGGCAAAAAAAATATCAATAGTTGTAATCATTTGCGTAAACATTTTTACACAATAATCATATAATTATCCATTGCTTCGGCCGTCATCATCTTCATCATTACTAGAGATGCCCCATGATATTTTGTTGCTATAATGATATTTTATAGTTATATTGTAACAAGAAAAGCTGCGATGAGTCATTAGTAGCCCCGCTCTATCATTATACTTTTTCTTTAATAATAATAGATGGTAATTATAATAGGCATTATATTTAAGCGTCATTATTATTTGAATTATTACTGCAATGGCTGCTGTCGTGCTCAGATTGTTCTGCTGCTGTTGTTGTTATCATATACCCTCTGTTTCTTCACTATATCTCCTCAATAACACTACTAAAGACTATTACGGTTGTTAATAGTCTGTGGGTTTTCTCTCTTCCTGTTACTGTATTGTAAGTGTATTCGCCTCATTCAGCATTGCCCCGCATCTGTGTTAATTCACGCGCTGTCAGCAGACATTTTTTTTCTAAACATTGTTACTTAGCCGGTACTGGTTATAGTAACCACGACCAAGTAGAATATTTAAAGCGACGTTCGCACACCCCCGCACTTAGCAGAGCTACCCCAGCTTCTTCTAATCAAATCGTCACTTAATATCGGGGATCTACGTCTTTTGCTGGGAAGAAAGAATCTGTTTTTTCTTTGTTTATTTGTGTCTGTGTGTGTCACGGAAGTGATGATCCTAACTTGCGACTACGAAAACGTTACCGCGCCGTTCCGCAGACAAGTTTACCATCTACCTATAAGTTTTCTGAACGTTCCGTTGCTGTCTGTTCCCTTGTTCACTGTCGTTACTTTCCGCAGTCGCAGTTATCAGTGTTTCTCACGTGCAGCCCTAAGTGTGTAGCGTTTGAGCATGGCGTCTCCATGGATACTTTTTTTTCACCTTCTCTCTCTCTCTCTCTCTCTCTCTCTCCTGTATTCTTCTTTTTATCAATCGGGATCTATTATTAACTAATTGCTGTCCTCTTTTCTATAATACTCATTAGTATTATCGATTAATCGGTATCACCATTTACATCGAATCACCGGCATACTCCCGTAATGAAGTTTTAACATTCTTCAATCCCGAGAGGAATTACTGGACTGGACTGTGCAATAGGGTGTCTTGCAGAATCTAATTTGAAGATTGATCAAGCTAAACCAAGAACAGCATTAGATTTTACTAAGAGGCTAACATTTCCAAAGTTTCGGACCCCGATCTTTGTCCAAGTTAGATAACTTGCTCGTACATTATCTCCTGCCATGCTGAAGTAGTACAAAACCGTGCTACTTTCCAACTGGCGATTAGCGGTGCACTAAAATATTCAAAGGAATATACAAGTCTAAACCCTCAGCACCGAAACAATCCACTGTTCTCCCAAAACCATCGAGAACCGCCCGAACTACTCCATAGATAAGCGGGGGTGTCTGTCAACATAAACGTCCCCACGAATAACAATGATCACATATCACTATCAGCAGCGTGCGTGCCATACGTGTACATCTTTGATGCACACATAGCACATATTACTGGCATACACGCACAGGTAGATAGCAATGGACCAATTTCCGTGGAAGCCGATTTGGGCTTAGCAAATATCGTTGCTGATATTAACTGCTTGTTAACAACGACGTTGACGGTTTGACGGTAGTAACCATTATTATAGTAGCTTAAATATATTCTCACGGTGAAACGTTCGCAATAAAAGTTGGAATCTGGGAAGCAGGGATGGGGAGGATGCACTACTGCTTATTGTCGATCATTGACTTGTTATCGACTTCGACGTTCACTTACCGCTAGTACTATCACACTAGTACGTTAGTCGCGTAATCTCCCTTTCCGCTCTTTGTCTGTTTCTCCCCTATTTGAATATCAGTTGTTGCAGTCGTCTGCTTACCGTACGAGATAAACACAGCAAGATGGCGGACAATGTGTATGTGCGTGTGTGAATACGCTATGTGTATATATAGATGCTATAATATATATATGTGTATTTCTTTCTATGTATAACTTAAATGGATGGACATCCCCGTGCATCTCTCACGATTTACCTCATCGACCTCTTGAATAATCAATTTGCTTCAATATTCAGTAGGTCCTTATTAACTGACCACGTGCCTCGCTTTTATGATTCACTCTCATTGATCCTCACCCCATCGTTATTTGCGCGATGATTCACTGTAATTCTGCGTCGTCGTCGTCGTCGTCGTCGTCGTCGCCGCCGTCGTTGTCTGTTTCATTCTGTCCACTGCTATTATTATTATTAAAACATTTTCACAGCTCTGCTCTTTCCTTTCGGTCACATTCACGTCTCTGTTCGATATTCGCGCATGGAGATAGTGATGTTGCTGCTATGGCAGTTTCATGGAGTTGCCAAGTTTGTGCTGAACTTGTCTTTATTTTTTATGTTTGATTCCTCTTTTCTTCGTTGTTGTCAATCTGTGTCGTCCTGCCATTTTGGATACGAGTGGTACTTCTGTGTAGAGAACGTGAGGGATTATAGGATAAGGTAACTATTTCATTGCTATCGTATGATAGGTGTTTTGCTACTATTAGCATTATTCTTATTATTATTGTTCATCTTGTTTCTATAGTTGATGCTGCTATTGTTGTTGTTGTCTCCACCATCATCGCCATTATTGTTGCAGTAGATGTAGCTAATGTTGTGCGTAATTTACATCATTTCCTCGAAGGTTGTCATGATATCGTTCTGGGCATTCATATCGATTTGTCCACTCATAACTTCTCGTCGCCGCCGTTCTTGTTCTCGTCGACGCTGTTTTTCGCGTTCAGCCTCACTCTGTACAGCACCGCCGCCGCCTCCAGTCGCTGAAGGTGCGCCGCGCATCGCGGCTGGACTATTGCTGCCAGACCCACCTGTAAACGACCCAGAACCCAAAATCAAAGGATTAATACTCCACTTAAGATGCCGTCTACACAACGACACATTTCACAGGACAGAAATATTTCAATATATTCATTAGAGAGCAATCAAATATACAGAGAGTACTTACTGCTTAGCTGAAAAAGCGTAACAGTGTAGGCTTATTCCGAAGGGGGCATTCAACGAAGGACCAAACTAAATGAGAACGAAAATATATGGAATTATTAGCAGGGGCCACAACGAGTAGCCTACGTACCTGAATTATCAGATGATGGTCCATGAAGTGAGTGATGCGAATGATGCATGCCATGGTGAGAATGGCTTGAATGGTGATGCTGGACCGGCGAATGGACTCCGAAATGTCCTCCATCACCTTTTTGACCCATGTTGCTTAGTTGGGTTGAATGAGACCCCATAGAACCAACGCCTCCTGCTATCTGCTTCGCGCGTTCCGCCGCGTCCTTCCTCTCCTTTGCTTCGTCTAGCAGACGTTGCTATTTCGTCGTCATACAAGTAAAACGTGATTTATAAAAAATCAGTAATAAATATAAAATCAGTTATAATGGGCAATTAGTTGGAACTGTCTGACGCACACGTCCAAAACCGCATAAAGCCATGCGCGACGAGTACTATCCATGCTTACCTTGTCAGCTTTCTCTTTGGCTTGTTTCTTGAACTGTTGGAAAGAGTTCATCATGACTGAATTACTGCTACTGCCGGTGTTTTTAAGAGAGCCCTGTGCGCCGGGGGTATTGTGAGCCCCGCTACCGCCCGATGCAAGACTCGACCACGAGCCGAAGTTCCTCAGCTTGCTACTTTCACTCTGCGAAAAACAATTAAATATGAGAATGATCAATGTGCGAAACAAACCAAGCTATGCAATTCATAAGTACCATGTGTTCCTATACATGAAATATAATACCTTGTCCTAGTGATTTTTATACATGTTTACACCGTTGTATGTATTCTCGCTACTAAATTGGGTTATAAATTCAAATTTATCTTCAATTATTCCTGTTTAAAATTTAAAGGACAATGATGCTAGTTGAATTACGTTGCGTACTACCTTGTGACTGACAGGTGTCGATTGTTGTTGCGATGACTGTGTCTGCTGCTGCTGCTGCTGTTGCTGCTGCTGCTGCTGCTGCTGCTGTGAGCCGGTTGTAACCATAACATGGCCGAGACCGGCCCCCGTCCCCGGGACCGCTCCCCGAACCGTAGTTGCACCTGTCTGCTGTGGTGCTGCTTGCGCTGGCTGAGCAGCAGTCTGCTGCTGCTGCTGCTGCTGCTGCTGCTGCTGTTGCATCTGCGGTTGATGCTGTTGCAGATCTTGCTGAGCGCCTACTTGCTGTCTATGCGAGGATGCCTGCCCAGAGTGTCCAAGTGCCAAGCCTGAACTAAAGTCGCTCGCCCCGGCTCCTGCCACAGACGTTGATGACGTGTTTGGTAAGACGGATGCTCCGTGTTGACCAGGAACGCTTCCACCCATCGATTGGGACCCCGTCATAAGGTGTGACTGCGTTTGTGGTAGCAATTGGCCGAGCTGCTCCATGAGAATTCGCGAGTTGCTTCCAAATAGTGGATCCACCTGCATCACATCATTGCGTGGATCATTGAAAACGGGGAAACAAATACACAGTGGCATACTTATATATACATATATATATATATGGTATATATATATATACCTAGAGGTCAAGCCGGCTTTTTGGCTCTAGGCGAACGCATATAATAATAACTACATATAAACAATATATAACCTCCCAGCTTCATTTTTTGCATAATGAAAATTGACACGCTACAGGATGAAGTATACATGTACATATTCAAACGAGTAACATAAGACGCCTATATTAACATCAAATAGGGAATATAAGGACACTTTGTTTCTAAGACCATACTTAAACAAGAACAAATTCCTACAGCATATTTTCTATGTGCGAGAAGTTTTAGTTTGAGTGTCATTATTACTGAATGTAACCACGACAACAGCTTCAGTTTGGGACCTAGAACGCTAATTTGAACCATCTCATTTTTAAAATATTTCTTATTTAATTCGTAGAGAATTTTCTAATGGCACATGTTGTTATTGAGTGATGTTTGTGGGTGTAGACTCGTCAAAGCGTTAGTGACATACGCTACATACAAAATATTTTGGTAGTAGGAAATTAAAACATATAGTAGCGGCCAAAAAGTTTAAAAGGTGCAAAAAAGCGCCATGCGTCAGAAAATCTGACTGTTGGAGCTTATTTGGACGACCAAATTAGCAACTGATAAACAATGTCAGTTTCTGTATAGAAAATCCAGGTGTACTAAAAATAACTTTTTGAGCCATTTTCGTGGACCTTTCGGCCCTCTAGACTTTAATCATTCATTGAGAATCTTTTTTGCCTTCTAAAACCTTTCCTCAGATTTTTCCGAAGCTGCATGAAAAATGGCAATAATGGAACGTCCAGTGTAAAAAGCTTAGGCAATAGCTGATTTTAGCTCAAATATCAAAAACGACGCGCTGTTGTTTTCCGTGACGAGCGTGTTGGTTTGTTGTAGAAAGAGCAAACTTTCGTCTAGTGTCAGGAGCAGTGGATAAACTTATATGTTACGACGAATAGCCCACTATATA